TATATTATATATTATATATTATATATTATATATTATATATTATATATTATATATTATATATTATATATTCTCCTTTTTTCTTAAGAAACATTATACAATGAGGTGCCTATACACCTCACCAGAGGTCTCATGGCATCTAATGCCATTTTTGCTGCCATTTGTATACTTCTTGGATGTTCTTCTTTTCTTCTTGCTCCTCTAAATGGTAATTGTACACCTAATACTCCTATTCCTTCTTTTCTTGCAAAATCACATAAAGGATTAGGCATTGGAGATAAAGATGTACCCGTACCCGTGTATATAGATGCCTCCATCCCTGCAAGGGTTTGCACAATACGCAAAAAAAAGGGTTTACAGAGAGGGTTTAGGGTTTAGGTTTTAGGGTTCTAGCAAGCGCAGCATTTTAAGGGTTTAGGGTTTAGGGTTTAGGGTTGTTGCTCTGTGGGGGAGTTATTTAAATGAATACTTATAAATTAGATATAATGTTGAACATTAATTTTGTTTTTTCTCTCTTTACCTGCGCCAGGGAAACAGAAAACGAGTAAACGTGACCCTCCTGCGGGCATGACTGCTCGTGGGAACCATTTTTCGTCAGGTGTACGTACACCTGAATTCTGAGGGTTTAAATTAACCCCCATTTTAGAGGAATTTTAAGAACAAAAGAGAAAATGTCTGAAAATTGAATTATAAAGGGGGATTATCAATGAAAAGAGAAGAAAAAAGCGTCGGCAGCTGTAGACCGAGAAAACCCACAGAAACCAGGCCCACCAAGACGAAAAAATACAAAACAAAGCCGAAACACCGCTGTATATGATGTTTTTATTGCAATAAAAACAATTTAATGTGTTTTTATGTGTTTTTTTCGTGAAATTAACCGCAAAAAGACAGAAAAACAGACAACAAACTCTGAAATTGGACCACATGCGCCAGTTCGCCAATGCGGAGCCCATGGCGACACACAGTGAACGAAATCTCTTGTCTATAGCAATAGATATAAAAATAAAGAGAATTAATATTAATAATTTAATTATTTAATTATAAAAATTTAGAAAATTAATCTATTTCAATACATTTAATGCCTGAACAATGCTGCATTTCCTACAGGAAGCTCTCCATGGATCAAGAAACCTACTCGTCGCTTGCGGTCGCTCACGGTACAATTCAGCAAAAAACAGAAAAGGAAACAAATACACCGTAAAATACATAAAATAAATTACTTTTTAAAGAATATTTCTTGAACAAAGTTAAGTTTCATGATAGTTATGTTGAATATGATGAGATTACCGTCAATTTATATATAATTACTTTATTCATATTTTTCATGAGTCAGTCAACCCCCCTGTACAAATACAGTTTTTTTTATGCAAAAATACACCTGGAGATTAATTCTTGTTGCTAATTTATTGATTGTTATGTTTCTCCTTCATTACCTTCTCTTGCCAGTAAAAGTGTATCTTACTTACTTAGGAGGAGGGCAGAAGAAGTTACGCATTCGTGTGTCTGCATAGTACTGACGTAATGAATACACCACAGCAGATCTACCTCATGCTGCTACTAAGGGTGGCCTACCAGTTGCACCTACACCCCATGGTACTGCTGCTGCTGCTGCTGCTGCTGCTGCACGTAAGGAGAGTGTGCAACTGGCATGCATGCATCTCCCTTTGCGCAATGGGCACAGCAGCAGCACAGCCTTCTATGGCTACTAGGGAGAGGAAGCTTCCTTTCCTTACTTGCTTCTCTGTGCTGCAGGAAGCCCTGCAGCACAGGCAGCTGCATATGGGGGCATACCAAGCCCCATTTCTGTGCATGCGCTAATACGGGTAGGAACCTCAGCTGCCTCTTAGTACATAATGTGCATGCAGACACTAATACAAGATAAGGCTGCATGCGCATGCAACCCCTTATACCAACATATTTGCCGGTAAGGTAGATATAGTAGGGATTTATATATTATATATTTTATTAATATAATACCTCTTTTTTTTCTTATTTATTTGTTTCTTCTTGTTTATCTACCAGCCTATGCTATTGCTGTTTCTTACTCATGGGGGGCTGATGGGTATATATTGGTATAATTAAATAGGCAATAAAGTTGTAAAATAAAACAAAGAATTAATAAGAAAAACAAGAAAAGGAAGAATAAATAAATAAATCTTTGTTTATTCACATTTCCTTCTCTCCCCTTCCTTGAGTATTCGTCACAAGCTGTTGCTGCTCTATACCTCCTTTATTTATAAATAAATAATTATATTATTATTATTATTCTCTATATAATTATGTATAATTCCTTTAATTATAAATAAATAATTGTATATTATTATTATTATTATTGTTACTATTATTATTATAAAGGTACAAGATATGCACAAAGAGTGCCGCTGGTGTATTGCAATACAAATTAAGGAAACATTTTTCTCTTCTTTCCTTGAGAAAATATTCCTTAGGAATATATAGTGTTCCTATAGATGATTAACAACTAACAATTATACGCTGATTCCTTCTATAGAGGGAAAGGAAGAGAGAAGGCAGAGGTATATTTGCTTGGCGTCTCCACCGCAGCATACATACTAGGCAGATCTCTTGCTCCAATATACCAACTATATAATTTACCTTGGTCTATATACAAACACATTTATATTTTTTGTACATCTATGCAGTAATATAGGTTAGGTATCGTTAACTGTATTGAATTAATATGCAAACAATAGGAAAATATTGCCGTTTGTTTACTTGAATTTTTGCCGCACACTCTATGCATGCACACTTCTTATAATGTGTGTTATTTCCGTTACTTTTTTGACTATAATTCGCTCTGAATTTGCTGTTTCAATTTATTTACACAAATTCAAGTTGAGGTGTATGTACACCTCAACAGTCTGATTAGCGCTTACCGTTATTTGAACTATACAACATAATACCTTCGGTGAGGATGGGGCCCTCTGGGGCTTGGTGGTAACAGCCCCGTTCCTTTTTTTTTAAATAATTTCCCTTTATTTCCTTATTTTTCAATTGTTAAAATGAAATCTTTCTTCGTTACTCGCATAGAGGAAGACTAGGAGGGCGTAACGCCCGCAGCGCCCCCACCTGTTCATGTGAAGGTTGATCCGGATAACCTTTTCTGTCTTTTTGCCGTTTCTTCGTCTAGAACGATATTTTTCGTTTATTACAGTTAATTAGCTACTAAATGCTGCAGCAACAACAGCAGCAGCAGCAGCAAATAGCCGCATAGGAGGAACCTTGCGTGTTCCTGAATTTGAATTTCTTGTTGTAGCCATCAGCAGCAGTTATTTTGCGATCTTTCTTATACGAACAAGTTAATAAAGAAAACTTTCTTATTGATTAATGATATTATATTTTATTTTCTCATGAGATTCTCTTTAAGGATTTCATCTCTTCTTTAGCAGCAGGATGGATATCTGCATGAAGGAAGAAGACGCTGCAGGAGCAGCAGCTGCTGCCCCTGAAACCCAGAGCCTTAGTGCAGCAAATGAAGCAGCCGACGCCTCCCTTGATGCGCCAGAGGCAGCAGATGCAGCAGCAGATACACCAGCAGATGCTGCAGCAGATACAGCAGCAGATACAGCAGCAGATACAGCAGCAGAGCAGCAGGTAACCAA